GTCAGAGGCTGCGCGCCGTTAGTAAGAGCTTGAAGCGCTGATTACAAATCTGCCTTCCGCATCTGCAGAGCGTCTTTGGGAAAGAAGTTATGGGCAGTTTTTAAGGCGAAAAAATGAGTATTGGCTGAGATAAAGTTGTTTGTTACGGCTTTTTAAAACGTCGAATTGAATAAAATACTGATATACCACGCAGAAGGAGTTCGTGTATGAAGATCTGCAGGGCGTTTCTAAAAAGAAGTTATGAGCATTTTTGAAGTAGGAAATTATATTAATGGCAGTGATAAATAAATCGCAACAGCATTGGACATTATGAAGCAGCGGCAAGTACCAGGATAGTTCATACAATAAACTTCTTTTCCGAATATAACAGTTTTTCCTACCTCTTCTTTTGACGCTCGAAAGGCTTTAATGATCACTTTTATCTCAGCCGATACTTCATTTTTCGCCTCAAAAATTGCTAATAGCTTCTATCCGAAAGGAGCTCTGCAGATAGGGAACAGACAGATTTGGAACCAGCGCTTCACGCTCTCACTAATGGTATGCAGTTTGCAGTCATTAACCACTTCGACTTCGTGACCCCCCCCCTTGTAAGGCTCATAAATGTTCCTATGATCATGGCGCAATGTGCCCAAGTCTAGCCTGAGTACTGTATGTGTGAAGGTGATTTCGGTTCAGTTAGTCTTAAGCAACATGCCCCAATATGCATTTTACGCAAGACCCAATCCAAGTCCTCGAATAAATAGTTCCGTTTGTAGTGCTGAGGAGAGCAAATTTCATCGCTGAGTGGTTCTGTTTGATATATTGAGCGAACAGTTATCTACAGGGCTCGGCACGAGGTGGCTTTCCGAAAATACAAAGAACGAAGTGCACTTGAATTTCGCTGAATTTTATGAAGTTTCCTTTAACCCTTAACCCTAAACGTAAAAAGACTCGCGAAGAAACGAAATGCCTACTAAAAAAACGTAACTTAAATTATCTTTTTTCGGCCAAAAGGATATCCCTTTGCTTTTTGTCCCTAAAACGATATCCAGCTTGGTAAGCGTCCTGTGCTGAGCCCTGGATAACTAGGTAGAATTTGGTCCGAACTCCAATATAGGTAAATTTGAACCTTCCGGTTCATTCGGTTTTCTTATTTGGTTTTGTAGCTCTCGTGATCCTTCAGAACATATACCAGGTAGTATCAGCGGTACATCTTCTCCTTCTCTGAAAACATGGCTTACGTTTATACATGGGTTTTCGTCTATGATGAAAATTTTCTAGGAACAACTATAATATGTGCGGTCTAGCACTTTCTTCTAACATTTGCGCATTTTGAATGTATCTCAAATTCTGCAGGTTTCGACATTGTTCCAGTTGAAAACACGAAAAAGTTTATAATAAATTTACGAATCGCCTCCTTAATTTTTCAACCTCTTTGCTTCTGATACTGTTACAACATCTAGGAGCCAGGCAACACACATTATTTACGACCTTACCTAGTTTCATAGTAGCTACGAAACATAGAACTAAATAATTGAAAAGGTTGAGGTCGCAGCGTTAAAACTTCACCGATCTCTCTATTTTTCCACTTGTTTGAAACTTCTTATAAGAAATGAAGTGGCATTTGTCCTTGCTGACTGACTTGGTGGACTCAATTGAGTTTAGTTGCTCATCGTAGCTAAATTGTCAAGGGATATAGACCGATAGCCGATAGCTGTCAAACTGGGTTTGAACATTCAATCAAACAAAAAGTAAAGTGAGCGCATAAGGTAATACATTTATTGAGATATTATATGACAGGATAAGTATTGCATGTAAGTGAACAGTATGAGCAAAATTCGAGTGAAGTAATTGCAGTGTTAGATATACAAAGCACAGAAAAGCAAAACATAAGCAGGGGATAGGTTTGAGAATAACAATGAGATATTCAAGTGTGAGTGATAACTTTGTGCGACAACTCTCTTCCGTTTTATTGCGGTCTTCGCCAGAGGACGGCTCAGATCACATATCTTCTTCAAAACTGAGTAGCATGTCTGCAACGACACTTTGCTTTTCCACAATAATGGCAAGCCATTTGTCGAGAAGCTTTACGATCTTGAAAGCATTGGCCAAAACACTTTCGTGTCTCATTGGGTCGATGGGGAAATGAATGCTTTGCCATGCCTGCCATCTTTTCATATCTTGCCCCATACGAGTCTTCATCTTGTAAATATCCTTCATATAGTGATAGCTCAGGCTTAGGCGTACTATCTCCGCCTGCACCTTTCTGACATCCTTCGCAAATTTGTAAAGTTTCACGAGCCTCTTCACAGGTGGCACTGGCTCATGCTTATGCATGTGCTCAGAATATTTGTACTCGGTGATGACCTCGGCTGCTCTGCAATTTTGAGCCCTGAGTCGTTTCATCAAGTCGACCAAATTCTTCTCTATCTCCTTCGCAGTAGAGTCCAACCATCGTTGGAGAATGATAGGAGGGTCGCGACATTCCCGATTCATCGTTTGGACTCTGAAACGATGTTACTTTCCGTGAGAGTCACTTTTGTCAAAATGAAAGCTTGACAACATAACACTTCGTAATTTTCTCTAGAAGCGATGTCTTAGCAGGGCTCGGCACGAGCTGGCACCAGGAAAATTTCAAAACGAGCTCCCCTTTGACATGTCTTGAAGACCTGACCTCATTTTTTGATTCTATGTCGATAAGAGTACACGAAGTACACAGCCGCAAGCATGCCGATGGCATCCCAGCGGCTGCAGGCGGCACGCCAACCGGTAGCCGGCGACATACTCAACCCCAAACAAACAAAACAAACAAAAGCATTTTTTTGAACCAGTCACAATAGTATGACACCAGATTTGGTGTGTGCATGCGCACTGGAGGACCCGAACTATGGCCCAAAAATTTTGTGAAAACTTCTGTGAATGAAAGCTGTGCTGAACTCTTTTCTGAATTAGCTGGCACCGACCTTTTACTCACATAAGTTAACATACTTTTTTACGTAGATCGTATCTATGCCGTAAAAGTTTACATACAGAGAAAAGAACATTTTCATAATATTTTCTTTTGACGTTTCAGCGTTCTTTTCGATCGTATCTATACCGTAAAAGTTTACATACAGAGAAAAAAACATTTTCATGATATTTTCTTTTCAGCGTTTTATATCTGAAATTTCTCGTTCTGCTCTGCTCGGAAAATCTGCAGTTTTCTTCCGGGGCTCGCCTCGGATCCCGATAAAAAGGTTATTCTCTTGTTTTCCGCCCCAAAAACCATATCCAGCTTAAGACGGTGCCAGCTATGCCGAGCCTGTGTCTTAGGCTGTAGTGTAAAACAGCCCTAATATTTCCTCAGGAATGTTAGAAAAAAGCGGCGTTTCCACGGAGAATATTACATAGGTCGTCGCTGGAAATGACGTGGCGCAATTCAATGGCGCTACTTTGTAGTTGTCTAAAATTGGTAACTTTTAGTGCCAGATGATCGACTTTCACTTTGGGCTTTGTTGGTGCAGCGATCTGCCAGATGTGCTTGCTTTGCTTTTCTCCTGATCGGGCGCATGTTTTCAGTGCTGGCGATCACGTCTTGTATAGCTTTAAAATACCTAGTAATGCAAACTGTGACAGTCGAAATTTCATGGCACTAGGAGGTCATATAGGCTAGAAGCGGGTTAAGCAGCTTGTATTTGCTTGAATATCGTGGAGGCGATTTCGGAGAAGAGTTTCAAGTGGTAGAGTCGTGGTTTCCCTGCAGTACTCAATCGTATGCTTCTTGGAGTTCTCTTCATGTTTTTCCTTTGCGAAGAAAGCTAAACTGTGCCTTCTGAATTCATCGCTTGCTCAATACCAGTTCTTAGCAAGCTATAACTTCTCCGACGAAATCCATTAAGGCATGCATCTTGAGTGACTCTTGTTCCTTCAAAGTTTACTTCTTCGTCAATATGTCGCGTTGTATAGTAGAAAACTACGATTGAACTTGTTTTTGCAGCCATGACTGTCGATACTCTTTCCATTGTGTCCCCTCTGTGCGACGATTGCTTGCAGCTGCTCCAGAAGAGTTCTTTGATCTTGATGAAGATGTCAAAAAAATGCATTTCAATTCCTTCGTTCGATAGGACGTCGTATAGGAACTTTAGACCGGTTTGGTTAGTGTTTGAGCTGATAAGACACTTGAGTTTGTGAATTTTCGCAGATCTTGATGTTCAGAAGTCATCCATTCTCCAAATACCTTTGTGAAATGGAATTATTGGTAACAAGAAAACGTCTGTACTGAACGAAGTTGGACGGCGCGCTCCACTGTTTTCTTGCCATTTGCGCGATGATGGTTGATAGTGTCATATCCTCAAATGTACTTCCATTTGTAGTTGAGAAGAGTCGAATGCTTCACTGTGGCAAGTCTTCGCTGGTGTAGAATATTCTCAGCAATCTGTTGCTCCTTGGATTCTGGCTCTTGTTGAAAGAAAGAACGTAGTCTTGTATAGGATGCTCGATTATATCGAATGCCCCCTTCGACAGCTTCAATGAGTTGCTTGAAATGTTGACATAGCCTCTGATTGTTTGGAAGTTTTCCGCGTCGTTAGTACCTTTTCTTTAAGGCACGAAATAAGAGGCTTGAATAAGAGTTTGCTATTATGTTGCGTGAGAAGTTGCATGGGAACCCTACACTCACTGATGGAATGGGAAAAGCGGGTTTATAGGACTCTCACAAGAGTTTACAAAATGGTAGCGATAAAAAATTGAGGATTGAGACTTTCGAACCAACCTGAGTGTTTCTTGCTTAAAATGAAGCACCATGTAATAAAGCGATTTTTGCCTTGGAAATTGACTTGATCGGTTTTTCAAATTTAGTCGTATTATCGATCACGCGGATAAGTCCAATAGTCAATCTTGAACCTAAACATTATAACAGCGTCACAGAGAACTAGAAGTTGAGTGAGTAAATGATTTGATTGCCATTTTACATTGAGGGAAAAGTAAGTTTCATGTAAGCAAGCGATGTGAGTAAGGCATGCTAGCAAATTAACTTACGGTTAGTCAGATGTTTCAAACAACAATCAATAAGTAAATAATCCAGTGAGAGATAAGTGTGAGGTTAAAGTGAGGAAAAATATGAGTGGTTATGTAAATTACTAGAAGTTTTTGAAGCTATCAACGGAAGCACTGCGCTATTTATACGCCCAGAAGACAAAGAGAAGAGACTGTAGAAGTTGAAGCTTCTGCTTGGAATGCCCTTTTCATGAAAGCTTGAGAGAGCAACATCCATTCAAATTAGAAGTAAACATGCACTTCAGGGTTGTAGGAATCAAGTGCACGATTGCTAACAAAGCATGTCCTTCTTGGATGTGTTGAATAACAGATCGTAGTTCATTTCTCAACTTGTACGAGTTACAAAATGAAGTCTTGTAGTGGAACAGGCGCTTTTGCTGCTTGTGTCACCAAAATCAAGCAGCTGATTGGACATACTACTTATTTTGCAGATTTTTCCAAACTTGTAGCAGTGGATCAATCATAGGGCTGTGGGAGATCGTGGCGGATTATGCTTTTTGAATCTTTCCCTACTGATGGATATCGCTGTTCTAAATTGTTTTTACTTACTAACTTAAAGGCAGCGTCTCACCT